AGGACTTAGCTTCCGCCCCAAGGTTTGCCCTGTACTAGGAGATGTATTGACTCTGATATCACCTGTCATAGCCCAAGCCAACTATCATGTATTTTTTTGTGGCCCAACCTTTGAGGCCTCACTATTATTTCCCGAGCTTAACCAAAAAAGCGTCTTGACTTCTAAATTCCTGATATCGCCTAATATTTCCCCTAACTTTTCCCTCTTAGTCCAATATGGAATTTGCCTAAGGCAAGTCGTAAACCCCCTTTTGAGTTCAACCACCGATGGTGCGCGTGTTATTACTATAGATCTACAAGTGTATGAATCTACACACATATACACTTGATATTGTAACATGCCTCCTCAAACTCAAATTGGGCAAATCAGGTTGAGTTTGCTTACTTTGAAGACATAGAAAGTTGATGCTGAGATCTCACTGGATCAGTGCACACTCACCCAAAAGAAAAGTGTTGCTTGAAATCTTTCCTTCAGAAAGTTGCTGCAATTGCACAACAAAAGAAAGTGCTTCTTGCACTAGTCACGAAAAGGAATCTATTTTGAGTCACTGAAAAGCGATACGGTGTTGCAAACCTCTGGAACATTATCAATGTAACTTGAATTGGCAGAACAATGACAAGAAATTCAAGATTTATTGAAGGGCACCGGTCGCATAAAAAGTAGCGGAGTCAATCGTCAAAGACATGAACAATGCTTGAATGATCCTAGAGATAGGAGTAGCGCATGTGCGGGTTTTCTGGAGATAGGGGCATTGCTTTTTGGAGAGCGCTTCGTTGGGCACCAAAAGGAAGAACAAAGCAAAAAAACATTGGCTCGATGGGCAACACACTGTTGAAGTGTGTCAGAGAGAGCACACTTTTATTTACGTAATTATTTCTTCAAGACGCCACCTAATGGCGGGCTTGATCTTTTTTTGATGAGCCAAGCACGTGAAAATTCTTTTTGATATTGGGTGGCAGTGAGACTTAAATCCAGGACCTCTGCCTGCTCTGATACCATGTTGAAGTGTGTGACCATCTCATCTAAAAGCTTAAACTGTTAGAGAGAGCACACTTCTATTTACTTAATTATGTCTTCAACACACACATTGGCTAGTACAACTCGCCGATTGAGTTTCTATCAAGATTGTAAAGGTTTCGATACCATGTTAGGAAAATAGACCTTGCTCGACCATATAAGGGTACAATCAACCCATCTCTCAACTAATGTGGGACACTTAACATTCTCCACTTGAGTTTGAGGGAGCATCTTAGAATATTAAGTGAAGGTTTGTCTAGATTCATACATGTCTAGATTCATTGTAGGTAAAAGATGAAAATCTTATAGAATATTCTATATGATTCTAATTTGAGTACAATGAATCAGACATGTATGAATCTAGACATTCTAATAGGTACTTTAACAGTTGGGTTTGGGCCGTTACGGTATCAGAGCCACTACGTTCCTAGGACGGTAGTGGGGATAATCTCAGTGATGTTGAGGCCCTAAAGGGGGTAAGTGTAACAGCCCAGGGGCCGCTGACGATTGAACTTGAAAAGAGGTTCACTGCGAAATTTGCCTTAGGTAAATCCCACATGGGAGAGGAAAGTTAAGGATCATATAAGCGAGATCAGGAATTTAATTGTCAAGGCATCTTTTAGGCTAAGCCCAAGGGAAAAAAACCGCAAGGCCTTGAAGGTTGGACTAAAGTAGACAATACCTTGGCAGTTGGTCGTGGGAGGTTACAACTTTAACCTCTGTAGTGTTCCCCTCCCAAGAATGCCTCTAGGTTCTGGTTTTAGGTAACAAGATCTGACTACACATGTATCCTGGAAACTTCTTCAATCAGCGACTGGAGCTTGAACTGTCAAGCCAAAATTGTCTGTTAGTTTGCAAGACTTACTTTACTAGTAGGTGTATCACTGTCTAGGCATGTCCACATGCAGATCATTTTCACTCATAGTCCTCGTTTCTAGCCTTGACGATATGTCTGTTTTCTCGTGGGTATACTAGTAGCAGTACTCATTAGTATACCAGCAAGCAATTTTTTTTTCACAAACTGTGTGTGCCTGAAATGTGCAGGTAATTGGCGTCACTGATAGTGATAGAAGTAAAGATAAGGGTTATGAGACAATAGTAAAAGAAGGTTTTTGTGATGAGGTAGGACATACAGCTTGCAGTAACTTGTGGGTTTACTATCTTCCTTGCACTGGTTTTGACATCTTCTTTCTTTATGGTTTTATGAGTGTAATCCTGTTTGTCCAGTTGGATGAGCTGAGGCAGATATATGAGGGGTTGCCAGAATTTCTGGAAGAGGTTCTCTGACTTCTGATTTTTCTCGATGAAACCACTTACAATTGAAGTTAAGCCTGCAGGCTATTGAATTTGATATTAGCAGCACTTTGCAGGTTTCGGCCTTGGAACTTGCACGACTTCCTCACATGTGTAGAGACAAGGAGGTCCCTTCTATCAATTACATACATCAGATAGGTCTGTTCACCATTTCATGTTGTCATGATTATAATAGCTTTGGAGCTATTATCTTATGTAATAAAATAAAAGTGCTTTGGAGCTACCTAGATGCTCAGCTTTTATACTGCCAGTGACCATTTGGATCCTGGGAATGCTTCCTTTATCAGATAGTAGTCTTGTATGTTAGGGTGGATCTAGCTTTTGAATAAACAACAACAACAAACCCAGTGTAATCCCATAAATGGGGTCTGAGGAGAGTAGTGTATACGCAGACCTTACCCCTACCTTATAAAGGTAGAGAGGCTGTTTTCGATAGACCCTCGGCTCAGGGAACAATGGAGATAAGATAAACCAGCCAAGTAGCAAACAATGGAAACAACAATGTAATATGGTAACGAGCGCGAATGACACAACATGTAATAATAAAGAACCATGATAAAATAATACAAAAACAATCCTAGTACTACTGGTAAGCCTACGAGGAACACACTACTATCAGTCAACCTACAACCCTAATCTTCAACCTCCACACCTTCCTATCCTGGGTCATATCCTTGGTAAGCTGAAGCAATAACATGTCCTGCCTAATTACCTCTCCCCAATACTTTTGAATCCTTTTTCCTTTTATTGGAACTTGTCCTTTCCTTGAAAATTTCTCCAGCTATTTACTTTAATTGAGGCAGTTTAATATGACACAAGATATACTTTGTTGTATTGAGCTTTTAACAGGAATAGGCACTCAGTGTACAAAAGCAAAGACTATTTCTTTTCTCAACCATAAGTAATCAGAATACAAGTGAAAGATGGATCTCAAAGTTGATTACCTATGAATGTGTGGAAAAGATAGATGAGATTCTAAGGTAGCATATCATCTTTAGGGTACGCCAGATGTTTGATGTAACAACGTAGTAACAGGGTCTTCTTGCTGACTGTTGACTAGGGATGTATTCATTCTGTACCCCAATGATATTTAATACTTGGCTGTATCTGAAAGAAGTCTCTTGACCTGATAACTTTTGCATTCTTAATGACCAGATATGGACTAGAATATTAATCATTTTAAAAATGTCCCCCCTTCGATCTCCCTGAAAAAAGTTCATGTGGTTCTACCTGGTTGAATTCATGCCTTCATATGTATCTTCTACATAAACAACACTGATTAAATGCATATTTCTGGTCTGCCAAATATGACACCTATATAAAATGCCAAAATCTAATGAAAGATAGCAACATACTAAAGATCCAGAAGCGCGATGAAGAAGTAAAAACTACCTGAAAGCAAAATGTTCTGCATTATTCTCCAGAGTGATGTTCTGCATCTTGTCTCACAACGGGCACCTATTAGACTCACACTCAGATTAACACTGCTCCTGTCAGTTTCATAGAGTTTCTCTACCTTCTTTCTCACACCTATTAAACCTAGGATAAAACTGTGCATCTTTAGTCGTGATCAATATCTGTATTTTCCCACTTACAGGTTACTTAATGTGCATTTTCAATGAAAAAATCGATGAAGAAATGCTAAAGAATCTTCAGGACTATGAGTTTGCTGTATGTCTTCATCTGACTTATAAAGTGGTGTATGGAATCACTAAACGTCTTTTGATCCATATTAGTAATGGATTTCAAATCCCTAGTTTGCTGATGAGGAGGGAGAAAATAGGAGGTTCTTTTATCATACTGCAAAGACAAGAGAATTGGATAACCTTCTCGGAGATATATATCATAAAATCCTGGGTATGTATTCTTTGATTCTTGTCCGTAGCTTTCACAATTATAATTCGCGAAGAATTTCTTATTTAAAAAAAAAGGTTCATTCAAACAAGATTGAGTAGTAACAGCAAAACAAGTTTGAGTGCAGCCTGCAATCACTGTGTGTGATAGGCGAAACCTTGAAACTTTTTCACTACCAATCACCAATTTTTTTCATGGCATGAATATTTTGATTCAGTTTCTTTCCTCTTTCTTTTTACTCTTTTGAACTTTTCCAAAGATATGGAGAGAGCTATTATGAGGGACCTGGTGTCACATATTCTTCAATTCTCAGTGCATGTGAACAAGGCTGTTAATTTTGCAGCTGAGCTCGACTGGTGAGCATTTCCATACAAAATTCTTGTTCTTATCTTCTATTTTCCCTTTATATCGGTTTCTTGATTTATTTTGCTGCTTCCAATGTAGTCTTTTAGCGTTGGCCTTGGTTGCACGTCAGAACAACTATGTAAGGCCAAATTTGACTAAAGAAGACGTGATTGACATAAAGAATGGAAGGTAAGAAACACGCATATAATCTAGAGTTTTTTTGTTATGCTAATGCAATTAGCTTTACCATTCCCTATCAAGAAAAAAAAATTGGCAATTAGCTTTACCATTACACCATTTGTTATGGGATGCCCCTTTATATAATTCTTTTTCCAGACATGTTTTGCAGGAGATGACAGCAGACACGTTTATTCCCAATGACACAAAAGTTTCTCATGAAGGTACAGAAGAATGTCCATATGGAAGCCATTTTAAGCTCATCTATTCTTGCCAAGCATTATATGTCCTGTGGCTGATCATTATGTATTTTCTAGGAAGAATTAATATCATCACAGGCCCTAATTATTCAGGCAAAAGCATCTATATCAAGCAGGTAGAACTCTTTGTCTCACCACACACTATGTCAATTTGGTGCTTTGGCATGTAAATGTGCACCTAAGACTGCCTAAGAACATGTCAGTTTCTCTTATAATCAATTACTACAGATTACAGATCTTTCTTCAAGATGCTATTTTTTCACCATCTTCCTCTTCCCATTAGTTTGGTTTTATCAGAATTTATTTGCACAGATTTGGATTTTCTTTTTTGGGGCAAAACCTTGTTAATAACGTATGCAGATGAAACATTCATTAGCTAAAAACTGGGCCTGTCAAAAACTCCTTACGTCCAATGGCACATTCTTCAACATATGTTCTGCTATGTCATTCTGACATATTATTTGCGCTAGGGAGAGACAGAAGGTATGCACACTGAGACGTGTGAAACAATATAGATGTCTTTCTTCCTTCTTTTTTGGCTGAATTTGGTAAAAATGAAAGAGACACCAGTTTCTCAATTTGACATACTCTAGTTGCCAAGTTAACCTAGCAATGGCTTGTTTAGCAACAAATATAAGTCTTTTTACTCCTCAATGTTTGCAAAATATTAGAAAAATAATTTTTTGGGCGAAAATGTGGCTTGGTTGATCTAGACACCAGGCATTGTTAACAAATAAGTTTTAGTTCTTCCTCCCCACCCTATAGCAGTAGAATTTTCTCACCAACCACTGCATACAACTCTAGTTTTAAGATCTTGAGCAAATGAGTACAGACATTGGTACTTGGTAGCAGGGCTGACTTGTAATAAACCATGTATAGTCATCTAAAGTTTTCATCACATAAATATATCCAACTCCCTTTGCTGTCCAGCACACATACGGCATACCTGGACCTTTCCACCCAATTTACAGCCAGCCCCTGCAATGACTTCCCTCAGGCCCTACCACACTTTTTTTCCATGAATTTTTGTCCCTCACACCAATGCCTCTCCAGTCAGTAAAGTGAATTTTTTTTTGACTTTCTACTAAGCACAACAAACGACACAACTACGCCTAATTCCAAGCTATTTAGGGTCGGCTATATGAATCCTGCTAGTCATGTCTTCCATTTACCCGTATCAATCCATTCATAAAAGTCATAACCATCCAAAGTGTAAGAGTTATTGCAATTCCCACCTGCAGCCCTGATGTACTGGTTAGTGGTTATAATCAATTTCACAACCCAAATGTTTATATCCAAGTTTTCAATTAACGTGGAACTCAAAGCTCTATTAACCGTGGTTCTCTGATCTGATACGAGGTGTTATACTTTTTGCATAAAATCCCCTTAAACATATTCTATATGACTTGATGGAAATGGCCACGGATATGTGTTTCCTCATCGGTGGTGAATTTATCCTTCTTTTTATATAAGGAATACAATATCCTTGTGTTTAAACTTATTTTCATAATTCAAACTCATAATGAAGTAAACACCAATTGAACAGGTCATCTGTTCTCGGTGTTCATCAAATTGGTTCATCTAAAAAAATACATATATTTGTGGTGAATGCAGTTTCCATATTTGCATCCAGTTAATCACCACGTTTAATAATTTTTTTAGGTTGCGTTGATAGTTTTCCTTTCCCACATTGGAAGTTTTGTACCAGCAGATGCTGCCACAGTGGGTTTAACTGACAGGTTTATGAACTTCTGTAGTTTTTAGTTAATTTTTCTTATGCAGCACTATTTTCATCTGTAAAAATTGAATATTCAACTGTATTATTCAACACGATAGCATAATTTCCAAGGAGTGTCAACTTTGCATAGGTTGTATTTTAGGTCATTTGCTTAATATGTCAGAGAGTGATAATGCCACTTGACAAACAGGATATTTTGTGCCATGGGAAGTAAGTTTATGACTGCTGAACAATCCACATTTATGATTGATCTGCACCAAGTGGGAATGATGTTAAGGTATGCTTAACTAAAACCTAATAAAGACCAGCAAATTGCAATGTAACTATGCTTTGAGTAATTTTGCATATTGAAGGACTCCAATATATTCATCTGAGCATAAAGCCAATATCATTGATCAGCAGTTCTGAAATTCAGAATGCTGATCATGTATTTATGTTTATTGTCAATGCGAGTTTTCTGATAGTATGGTATCATACAAGTTTATACAGGGACACACGCACATACGTGATATATACAAGTATACGCTACATCAATCATATGTGTGTAATTTCATGTGAAAATCATTTCAGGCATGCAAGTCCTCGGTCCTTATGTTTACTGGATGAGTTTGGTAAAGGCACCCTTACAGAAGGTTGGTCTTTCAAATATCTGGAAATTCTGACCCTGATTCTAAATATTTCATTTTAAATTGGACGTTGATATGAAAATAGAAAATCTTCTAAAACATGATACTACTTAAATACCAATTGGAATGATAATGCTGGGCGATGTTAATCTGCAGCAGCTTTATACTGATTTTTCTAGGCACTTAAATACCAATTACCTAGTGATCTAATTTGTCCTTTCTCAAGTGTTAGTGCATGAAGGCATGACGCTTTGTTGTCTCTTGTAAAAGGGTTGAACAATCAAATAAAATTGTAAAATATACTGTCAATGCAAAGGTAGTTCCACTGTTGTTGGTTGTCTCATAATACATTTTATTGTCCTTTCAGATGGTATCGGTCTCCTTGGTGGAACCATAAATCACTTTGTGTCATGCTATGATCCTCCAAAGGTCTGGTTCTACTGCCTCCTGATATTTGTTTAGATAGGATGTGGAAGAGAGTTTCGGGACAAGTATAATTGATTTTCCTAATGCTCATAAGAACTGCGATGGTAATGGCTAAGCATTTTGATAGCGAATTTAGGTACAATCAAATAATATGAGAGTTGAAAAGAATGAAAATAGATCATCATCCGCATGCATGTTGTATTGATAGTGTGAGAAAGCACGGGAGAAAATATATTATTGATGTATATTCATATGTTACAATGAGCCCTATATATATATACACACATAACATGTCCTACTCCTAATATATATTGGATTAGGGTTATTTATTTACTCCTATTTACATGACTATTCTAACACTCCCCCTCAAGCTGGTGCATATAAATCATATGTACCGAGCTTGTTACATATGTAGTTAATACGAGGACCAGTGAGGGACTTGGTGAAAATATCTGCAAGCTGATCATTCGACTTCACAAACTTTGTAGCAATATCTCCCGAGAGTATCTTTTCTCTAACAAAGTGACAGTCAATCTCAATGTGTTTAGTTCTCTCATGGAACACTGGATTTGACGCAATATGAAGAGCAGCTTGATTATCACACACAAGTCCCATCTGACTAATCTCACCAAATTTCAACTCCTTGAGCAACTGTTTGATCCAAATTAGCTCACATGTCGCCATAGCCATCGCTCGATATTCTGCTTCTGCACTAGACCGAGCAACCACATTCTGTTTCTTGCTCTTCCAGGACACCAAATTTCCTCCTACCAAGACACAATATCCAGACGTAGAACGTCTATCAGAAGGTGATCCTGCCCAATCAGCATCTGAGTATCCAACGATCTGCTCATGGCCTCGACCCTCAAACAATAAACCTTTGCCTGGAGCTGATTTTATATACCGAAGAATGCGAACAACTGCATCCCAATGACTATCACACGGAGAATCCATAAACTGACTCACAACACTCACAGAAAAGGAAATGTCAGGTCTTGTCACTGTAAGGTAATTTAATTTACCAACCAACCGTCTATATCTTGCAGGATCGCTAAGAGGCTCCCCCTGTCCTGGCATAAGTTTAGAATTCGGATCCATCGGAGTGTCAACCGGTCTACAACCTGTCATTCCTGTCTCTTCAAGAATATCTAAGGCATACTTTCGTTGTGAGATCACAACACCTGAGCTAGACTGAGCGACCTCAATACCCAGAAAATACTTTAGTTTGCCCAGATCCTTAGTCTGAAAGTGTTGCAAGAGATGTTGCTTCAATTTAGTAATACCATCCTGGTCATTGCCGGTAATAACAATGTCGTCAACATAGACCACCAGATAAATACAGAGACTCGAGGCAGAATGCCGATAGAATACAGAGTGATCAGCTTCACTCTGAATCATGCCAAATTCTCGAATAACTGTGCTGAACTTACCAAACCAGGCTCGAGGAGACTGCTTTAGACCATAAAGTGACCGACGCAAGCGACATACAAGGCCACGAGACTCCCCCTGAGCAACAAACCCAGGTGGTTGCTCCATATAAACTTCATCCTCAAGGTCACCGTGTAAAAAAGCATTCTTAATGTCCAGCTGATAGAGGGGCCAATGGCGAACAGCAGCCATGGATAGAAAAAGGCGGACTGATGCTATCTTAGCCACAGGAGAGAAGGTATCACTGTAATCGAGCCCAAATATCTGAGTATATCCTTTGGCAACAAGACGAGCCTTAAGACGATCAACCTTACCATCCGGACCAACCTTGACTGCATACACCCAACGACAACCAACAGTAGATTTACCTGAAGGAAGAGGGACGAGCTCCCAAGTACCACTCGTATGTAAAGCAGACATCTCGTCAATCATAGCCTGTCGCCATCCTGGATGAGACAATGCTTCACCTGTAGACTTAGGGATGGAAACAGAGGACAAAGAAGATAGAAAAGCATAATAGGGTGATGACAAACGATGATAACTCAAACCGACATAATGGGGATTAGGATTAAGGGTGGCCCGTATACCTTTCCGAAGTGCAATCGGTTGATTAAGAGGAGACAAGTCCGCAGTATTAGCAGGGTCAGGTGCAGGACGTGAATCAGCTGGACCTGATGCTGGGCGCGGACGACGATGATATGTCAAAAGTGGTGTTCCTGTGGCAGGGAGTCTAGGAGGAGCCACACTAGACTCCTCAACGGCTGGAATGGATAAGACTTCTATAGCGGAAGGTGAAGGAGGAGCTATAGGAGACTCGGGTAAGACTTCTGTGGCGGAAGGTGAAGGAGGAGCTATAGTAGACTCCTTAAAGGTCGGTATAGGTAAGACCTCAGATATATCAAGGGGGTCAGAAAGGTCAGAAGAGGTAAAGAAAGGTTTAGACTCAAAAAATGTGACGTCAGAGGACATAAAGTACCTACGAAGATCAAGTGAGTAACAACGATAGCCCTTCTGAACACGAGAATAACCAAGGAAGACACACTTGAGAGCACGAGGAGCTAACTTATCTTTCCCAGGGGCTAGGTTATGAACGAAACAAGTGCTCCCAAAAACACGAGGGGGAACAGAGTATACGGGTGATTGGGGACACAATACTGCATACGGTATCTGATTCTGGATGGGAGAGGAAGGCATCCGATTAACTAAATAACAAGCTGTGAGAACTGCATCGCCCCAAAAACGCAGCGGAACATGAGATTCAATGAGAAGTGTGCGAGCAGTCTCAATGATGTGCCTATTCTTTCTCTCTGCAACCCCATTTTGCTGAGGGGTATAAGGACAAGAGGTCTGATGAATAATTCCTTGAGAAGTCATAAACTGCTGAAATTGAGAGGATAAATATTCTAAGGCATTATCACTGCGAAAAGTGCGAATGGAAACACCAAATTGATTTTTAATTTCAGCACAAAAATTCTGGAATATAGAAAACAACTCAGAACGATCTTTCATTAAGAAAATCCAAGTACATCTTGAATGATCATCAATAAAACTAACAAAATAACGAAATCCCAAGGTTGAACTGACTCTACTAGGACCCCATATATCAGAGTGAACTAAAGAAAAAATAGACTCTACGTGACTCTCAATACTACGAGGATAGGAGGCTCGGGTATGTTTCCCGAGCTGACATGACTCACACTCTAATGTGGATAAACTAGACAAACCAGGCACCATCTTCTGAAGCTTGGATAAGCTTGGATGTCCTAAACGTTTGTGAATTAGGTCCGGAGGATCTGTAACTAGACATGCCTTGGAGGATTTTAGGGAGTTAAGGTAGTAAAGCCCTTCTGATTCAAGTCCTGTTCCAATCGTCTGCCCTGTACTGCGGTCCTGCATAATAAAAGAATCATCAATAAAATATATACCACAATGGAGGGCACGAGTCAAACGACTAACAGATGCAAGATTAAAAGGACAGCCAGGGACATAGAGAACGGAATCTAGAGTGACAGAGGGTAGGGGATTCGCTTGTCCAACTCCTTTTGCTTTGGTTTGAGACCCATTGGCTAAAGTAACAGTGGGAAGAGACTGTGAATACGCAATATTTGACAAAAGTGATTTATTACCAGAGATATGATCAGAAGCGGCTGAGTCCACAACCCATTGTCCAGGAGGACTAGACTGGGAAACACAAGCAAAAGAATTACCAGCAACAGAAGTATTAGTCTGAGCAACAGAAGCTACTTGTGGAGATGTCTGCTTACTTGCTCGATACTGAAGGAACTCATTATACTCCCCTTCAGATAAAGAAAATCCCTGGTTACCTGTAGTCTCAGTCTGAGCAACATAAGCATTTTTGGTTGGGCGGCCATGTAAAGAATAGCATACATCACGAGTGTGTCCAAGTTTATGACAATAGGAGCACTTGGGTCTAGATCTTCCAAAACGACCTCCTCCTCGTCTATTTTCCATAGTATGAGATGCCCGATTGTCCACTGATTGGGATACGAGGACAGATGAGTCAAGTGTCTGTGATGAGCTCACTGGGTGACTAGGTGCTGCAGCAAGGCGAAGTAATCGAGAGAATAATTCATCAACTGAGGGGACGGTTGGACTAGCCAAAATCTGGTCACGTACTGAATCAAGGTCATTAGGGAGTCCAGCGAGTGTAAGAACTAGAAACATCTTCTGTCGTTGCTCTTGTTGTTTTTCAATACTAGCAGAAACTGGCATCAACGTCTCAAATTCTTCCATGACTGCCTGAACTTGTCCCAAGTAAGTAGACATATCTAATTCCTGTTTCTTCAAGCTTGTCATTCGCGATATTACATCATAGAAACGAGATATGTCATTAGTGTATAGATTACGAGCCTTTTCCCAAACTAAATAACATGTCTGGAATGGACGGAACAAGGGCATCAACTTGGAATCAATAGATCGCCACAGGATACTACATAACTGAGCATCGACCTTCTCCCACTGTGTTTTGGCCTTTTCATCACCTTCGCTAGCCTTTTTTGTTAAATGATCTTGAACTCCTTGACCTTTACACCACAACTCGACAGATGAAGCCCAATCTAAGTAGTTTGAACCTCCCATTAAAGGTTCTGAGGTAATCATAACACTGGAACTGCCAGAACCCGGGTTTCTAGACCCGAAAGCATCGACTCCCAAAGACATGGTTGGATTATCACCAAATAACAAAAAGAATCAACTGAAAATTCTCTGAAACAGATGAAGAAAACACTGTGTTTGCCGGAAAAGTACTGTAGCTGCCGGAAAAATCAGTGTAGTCGCCGGAAAAACTCAAAGTGGTCGGAATCAAACGAAAAAGGTATGGACAGACTCGGAATTACTAGGCGATCCGACTGTCCAACTGAAAGATTTTCAAAAAATGGCCGAAACAGTGCTCACGCGCCGGCGCGTGGGGGCGCGTGGGTCAGATTTGCCGGAATATCGCCGGCGCGTGAGGGCGCGTGAGGGGGTGTTTTCCGGTGGGGTTTACTGGGGTTTGGTCGCCGGAGCCTTGGGAACCCTGTGGTGGTGTTGGTTTTTGCACAACACTGATAATTAGTGACTTTGACGCAATTAGTCACTTAGGTCACCGGAAAATTGCACGGTGACTGAGTTGTTTCTTCCCGGATATCGTTGGAATGACGCACAACGATAAATTTCTCACGGTTGCTCTGATACCATGTGAGAAAGCACGGGAGAAAATATATTATTGATGTATATTCATATGTTACAATGAGCCCTATATATATATACACACATAACATGTCCTACTCCTAATATATATTGGATTAGGGTTATTTATTTACTCCTATTTACATGACTATTCTAACAGATAGAATTGAAGGAACCACATGCTGTTTTTGTTGCTTACTTTCTTATGGAAACAGTATGGTTTGCTTGTTCACTTATAAGTCCCTTTTCTGAAGAAGTTTAGCCCCTCCGTTATCCTCCCTTTTAGTCTGAAATAGTACAATTTCCCTCTGATCTTGATGAGCAGCTTGTCTCTGCTTCCTTTAGCTGCACTATATCTCTTCTTCTTGGAAAGCCACGTCAGCATTGTTCGACAATTATCTGAAATAACAAAGGAATTTATTATTCAATGATTGCTTAGGACCAAATGCTCAATTCTTGAGAAACGACATAATATATTGTGCCAATCCGCTGCCCCTTTGATGCTGTCCTATTTTAGTTGTCAAATTTGACTTGATCCTCAAGTGGAGCACATCTTTCTTTCCTTTCTCTTGCACTCCAAAATTGCTTTTTCTAGTTTAAGCTAACCTATATGTCCGTATCCAAAGTTACACAATCAACTGGATGTTGAATATCCCACATCGGTTGGAGATGGGAGAATTGGACTCCTTATATGGTCTTGGACAATGCTCACCTCACGAGCTAGCTTTTGGGGTTGAGTTAGGCCCAAAGTCTATTTCTTTATCATGGTATCAGAGCTAGGCCCATTCTAATTCAATTACCGATGTTGGGCCCCCATTTTATATTGTCCACGCTCCAGATGTCCAGTTCTGGGCGTGTGAGGGGTTTTTGAGTCCCACATTTACCATTAAGGGATGGGAAGGCCTCTTTATATTATGTTGGACAATCCTCGCCTATGAGCTAGCTTTTGGGGTTGAGTTAGGCCAAATGTCCATTTCTTTATCATGGTATCAGAGCAACACTCATCCCAATTCTCGTTTCCCGATGTCGGGCCCCCATATTAAATTGATCATGCTCCAAATGTCCATCCTGGGCGTGGGGGACGGTGTGAAGAGTCCCACATGACGAGCTTTTTGATTGTAGTGTAGACCAACAACCATCAGCTCTTACATTCTTGGTAAGGTAAGAGCTTCAAGCTCGATTCTGGTTGCCACTTCACATATTTTGCTACAAACCTTAGGGATGACAGTGGGGCGGGTGCGGGGCGGGTTGAGACTTAACCCGTAGAAATTTACACCCGCCCTGCCCTGCAAAAAATGAATCATTTCGTTACTTTTGCTAAAATACACAAGTCTAATATAGTTTGAAATTCGAGGATATAGTATTAGCTACTTGCATCTTCAATTTAATTTCTCAAATAAAGTCAATGTTTTAAAAAGAATGTTCACTTTTCTTTTTTCAGACAAAAATAAAATTCCAAAATAATAATGATTTTCTTAAAACAAATTAACTAAATGTAGTTACACGAAATTGTTAAAGTTTAAAATGAAGAATAATAAGATGTGATACTGAAAGTTAGAGTGCAGTAACTTTATAAATTCAAAATCCATCAATGTTAGAGTGCAATAAAAAAATAAATTCAAGACCCATCAATGTTAGCTATATTCTGGGTCTTAGATGTACTATTTATTGTGTTTCTTCTGTACTTGGTTTTGGTTCTAAGTACTAATTTTGATCTCGAAGTAGCATAAATCAATTTAAAGCGTATTAGACATAAGAAATGCTAGCTAAAGACAAATTCAAGTCCCATGATTGTTTGAGTTAGTAATATAAACTTTGAAGGCATTTTAACCCTCAGGGGTTGGCCTGGTGGCAATAGACTTGAGCCTTGGGGTTTGCTCCCTTTCAACGTCTCAAGTTCGAAACCCACTGGGTGCAAACAACTTCTGAGAGCCATCGGACTGGGTAAAACCTGAATTAACCGTGGTGCACTTGGGGGAAACTCCTTGCCGAGGGCCTGTGCACCCCCGGGATTAGTCGGGGCTCTTAGAGACTCGGACATCCGGTGCAAATCAAAAACAAAAAAAAAAAACTTTGAAGGCATTTTGGATTCAAAATTTTTAAGCAAAACTCCTGAAACCCACAACCCGCCCCGCACCCACATTAGATTTAAAAAAAAAACCGTTTCAACCGCACCTGCACAAGGCTAAACCTGCACCGCCTGCACAAGGTCAAACCCTCCTACCCCCCCCCCCCCCAAAAAAAAAAAAAAAACCAATTGTCATCCCTACAGGCCTAGTGATAAGTTTGGAAAGGTTCCTGGAAATAGGGTTGACTAAGTTTGTTTGGTTAACCTAATTTCTTGCTGAAAGTTGCGCCTCACTACTCACTTGTGTGCTATTGCGTTTAATCGGAAGTTCCGTAGTCACAACTATCTGTTTTGCAGGTCCTGGTTTGTACTCACTTGACAGAGATATTTGATAATAGTTGTTTACTGGAGGTAGTACGTAATGATTTTGCCCAATGTTTCTTATTTGAAGTCATTTAAAAGCTTTCTGTGTTGTCCAAACCAAGAATTCATATTTAATAAATTTCAGTCAGACAGAATCCAGTGTTACACGATGAGCGTGCTAAGCCCAGATAAAGATTGTGCGGATGTTGAAGACATTGTATTTCTCTATAGGTATGCTCATGCTGCAGTTCTTATCTGATTTCCAAGTTAAAATCAGTTATTGCAAGCCGATACACCTTAACCTTGTTTCACATTTGATTTGATCCTACAGTCTAGGAACAAATTATTTTTTGACTATGTTTTTCTTAAATTATTATTAATTCTTTTCAATTCCACAACTAGTAATCAGTAACATTTTCATCTAATTTCTTCATACGTATCTCTTTTTTCAAAAAATAAACTATTCACTGACAGATAGTAGGTTGATAAGATCAAGTCATCCCTTGTAAAGAGAATATTATTGATCAATTTGGGTCCATGGGAGCATCAATTAACTGTGTCTCTCACTTCTTGTTTCATCTTTTCTACTTTTGATTTTTGAAGAAAAGAAAAGTACGCTTAGCTTGCAATGGTAGAGATTTATGTAGATCTATTCATCAGATCTTGCACCTTGTTTTCCTGGGTTACCATTGAGTAACATTAGGATTAGTCACAGAGCCTTGTGAGCAGTATAAGTCCAGTATCACTCAGGGACTCTATCTCCCAAGCTGTATTTGTAAAGAAACTAAAATGAGGTCATTTATAAAGTTTAGGCCTGTAATCTGTTATCGTGCAAAAAAGAAAAGCATACATGTCAATCCTTTCCTTTTTACCGACTCCACAGCATGCACTATTCCTAAACTACTTTTATATTTCCTTCTCCTTATGTATTTGGGAGCAAAAGTTTTGTTCATACCTTGATCACCGAAAAGATAAATTAGCCGCTTGTTCTCTCATCAGCAACCTGCATCTGGCCAGATGATCCTATGCAGCCTTTTCTGTTGCAGACTTGTCTCCTCTATGTAGTTCTCAATGGTCGTTCGTAGACGTATTCGTTCTATTTGTAATTGTCATCCCGTCTATTCTTTTTGGTTTTCATCGTTATCATCCCATTATACTTTTATAATGCCCTAGTCCTTCGTTTCTATTCCTAAGTCACAAGCAAAGCTTTTTCTCATTGAGGCTAGTGAAAAGTTATGATTGGCGAATTTCTATTGTACACTTTAATGGTATTTGAGGGCTTGTTCCTCTACCTCCAGGTAAATATACGTTTTGTTGTCAATAGATCATTGTGAAAGTTGGTCCAAATCATATTTATCGATTTAAGAGTACACTGATGTTGAACTTGACTATGGTAATGCATTCTCTGCCAAGGATAAGATTGCTTCCATCCGTTTATTTTTTGTCTATGTTAGCTTTCCATTAGTTGGATTTGAAGAATGTACTTCTTCACGGGGATCTTGGAACAAAATGTATCCGGAGCAACAACCAAGTTTGTTGTTCAGGAAGAGTTTGGTGGTCTTGTATCCGTAATCGACCCCTATATGGTTAGAAGCAGTCCACTCGAGCATAATTTGACAAGTTTAGCACAATTATTCAGGAGTTTGGCATGACTCGAAATAATCATTTTGTATTCTACGGCCATTCGACTCCACATCCATATATTATTTGGTCTTTTTTATGTTGATATTGTAGTTATCACATGTATTGACCAAGAGCGGGTTACTAGTTTGACATAATATCTTTTTTGACATTTTTGGAGCAAGGACCAAATGAGTCATAATATTTCCTAGGCACTGAGCTAGCTCTATCTAAATCAGTCATTGTCAATTCACATCATAAGTATATTCTCGACATCCATCTTAGCATTTGCATCTCTGTGACAATCATCTTGTGGATGCATTGGATTTTACTGGTCCAACATTCTACTGCCATATAACATTGATGGTCTTATAATCGTTCTATAGAACTTACTTTTCACTTTGATAGGCATCCTTCTATAACTTATCATTCCGGTGGCACTTTTCCTTCTCAACAATACGATTTTGATTCTATGTGTCACATCTTCATCTGTCATTCTTTTCTCCTAGAACGATGGACCTAGATCTCTGAATTGCTTGCATTTAGGTACTACAATCCCATCTAATCTAATACTTACTAAAAGATAAGGACATAAAAATAAATGTGGCACTTTGTCAAATAATGGCTCACAGGAGAGTTATCACAGGTTTCATAAAATCAAATGGTCAATTTGCAAATATATTCACCGAGTCCATTGTCGAAAAACCATTATTCAACTCTTGGACAACATAAAAAAATCAAAAGCTCTGTGCTTCCTTTCTGTCTCTCCAAGGGATGGATGGGTAGAGGCCTTTGGTTTTCCCTCCAGTAAAGAATTGGGACCTCACACTCACTAGCTAATATGCTTCTTTCATACCTTTCTTCGTTCATGGTCTGATATTCTGGTATCCTGGGCGTAAAGATTTGCCAATTAGCTAAATATGTAGTAAGTTTGGTATATACAACTTGTATGTACCCATTTGAGGAGGTGTGACCCTTCTGATGGATAAACTTAGCTGTCATAGTCAAAATTTCAGTGTTCCTATTTTACTTTCAACTTAAGTGAACCTTCTGATTTAGGGTTCTCCGCATTGCCTAATTCGCCATGGACTATTATATTATTCATTGTTGTACATTAAAGGCTACAGACATCACTTTATGATCATTTATTTTTTACTGTGTCTGCATATTAGATTTAAATTTTGGTAGTTGTTATTTCTTCGGGAATGGTGATATCACCTATTCTTGTATGCTTGGCAGGTTGGTCCCCGGGCGTGCCCTCCTTAGCTATGGTAAGTGCAAGTTTCATTCCTCGAAGGAACATGCATTACAGTAAATTTCTAATGGTTTGTTTTTTCTGCAGGGTTGCACTGTGGCCAGCTAGCTGGTATGTTAAATTATTGCTTGAAAAAATATTTCCTTATCCTTTAAGGGCAGTAAATATGCTCTGGCCTAAGAGCACCATATATTTATAACAACTTTGAATGAGTCAACTTTTTTAATAGTAGCTTAATTTATCTTATCTTTGCATTTTTTTAAATTCTTCCTCTCGAGCCGAGAGTCTTTCGGAAGCGGTCTCCCTGCCCTCCAGGGCAGGGGTAAGGTCTGCGTATACATTACCCTCCTCAGAACCCACTTGTGGGATCCCACTGGGTTGTTGTTGCATTTGGTTAGGAAAGAAGGCTGTAAGGTGTTTGGTTCAAATTATATGTAGGATGTGATATAAAAGCTTGGCCCTTCTCTTGCATCTTTGATTTTTGATTATCTTTCTCATACTAGCAATCAGTGGTATGAAGATATTCCTTGAGAAAGAAAATGGAAAATAAGTTAGAGAGCCATATCATAATCAGATTTCTGGTAAAAGTCCCATAGCGGAATTAAACTGCATCTGCACTCATTAAGTGCTTCGTTGCTGTACATGTATTGCTATCCCGGTGTATCATCTTCGGCATTTGGAGAGTATTTGTACCCTTTATGACCAAAAAGTTAATTTGACAATTCAAGTGTTCTTGTTCCTGCAGGATTACCTCACGAAGTTCTAAAGCGCGCAGCATTAATATTGGATACTCTCAAGAATGACAACCAAATTGAGAGACTGAGCAGGGATAATGTAATAGCTCGTGATCAGCAGTACAAGGTGTAATACCATTTTAAACAATGTCTCAGAGTTATTAAAAGAAAAGTCATTGTATCAGTATCAACAATTTCAAGCCTTCAATTGCAAAATGAATGCAGGATGCAGTGGAGAAGTTCCTAGCGTTTGATGCTCGGAAAGGTGATCTGCTCCAGTTCTTTGAAGGGGTCTTTTCTACCCAATCCTAAAAGAAATCATATTCCTTTGAATTTTGTCTTTCATAGTCAGTGCTAACTCGGTTATATTTGATCAATGATGCAAAACTGTATCCATGAATCTTTTTGCGGGACTCATAATGTAAGGCAAATTTGGTATCTTCTCTCAAGTCGCTTTGAGCTATGTAAGGCAAATAATTTGGTTATTTTTATAAAAGATACTCTAACGTCGTCAACTTGGCTCTAGTTTACCCATAGTATAAGTTATTGTAATATAATCCTTGTTCAAATGTCCTCTTGAGAACTCTTGAAAGATGATTCAAATTGGGTAAGTTGGGGAATGAATTAACGTGACGATGAACGTGTTTTAAGTTTTTAACTATTTCGAGGGATGGCAATGGGAATTAGTTTATGATGAAACGTCTTCATTTTCTAGGCTACCATAGTGGTTATAGTGTTTTATATAAGTATAAGACCAGAGTTTTGAGTTTTTAACAAGTTATTTTAATTTGAAAGCCACTAAAATCGTTCCATGCATCCTAGAGGGACAAGCTTAAAATCAGAAAGAGATTCTCTTATTGACAAGCATACTATAGTTGTCGTGATTTGTTGGACGCCGTGCATTACAATAACCGTAATACAGTAGCAAGACGAACAAATAAATAAATAAGAAGTTAAATCTTTAAAACATAGCGGGGATAGCTCAGTTGGGAGAGCGTCAGACTGAAGATCTGAAGGTCACGTGTTCGATCCACGTTCACCGCATTTTACCTTTACTTTTTGAACCTTGGTTATGTTTTAGTCTTGGTACTAAAGGGACTCGTGAATTTTAAATCCATAGCATAGATGCAAATTTATGTAAAAAAAATTCTTTTCCACCGATTTTCACATGTTTATGAATAGGCTAATTACGGATTTCTTTCAACTAAAACGAAAAGTCTCTCTCTCTCTCTCTCCTCTTTATGAAGCTTGTCCACAAACAATATGGCTGTGTGCGTCCTAGTAACAATTCCAGCTGGTTGCTTTAAAACTAGTATTGCGAGGAACATCAAAATTAATATGCTAAGGACTTTTATTTCAACAAATTAGTGAGGATTTCTCTGAGACTATTTGATTCTCCCTCTGAAAAAAAAAACACGATTTTCTTCCTCCAAAGCTGTTAATATATTGTACTCCCACCTGACGTCGTCATCAGGGCACACGGTAGAAGATGAGCTTAAAAGAAACTGCAATTCCAAGGACACGCAAATTCGCACTCAATTGAAAAACAACAATTGCCTTTGTCTCAGCTATTCTTTTTACGACACAGATGTCGTAGACCCGACACAGATCTCGTAGGGTCAACGACGCACGATTCAAAACTCGACTCGATGGACCGTTACTCTATCCTCCTAGGGGTTCGAACCTTCAGCACGGCTTTAGAATTATCTGTCTCAGTTCTTTAGAATCATTCATAAATTATCAACATGCACCCGATCTTCCTACCTAATTCTACAAGAGCTATACTGAGAAACCAGAATACAAGTCCAATCAAGGGTAAACGAAACATAACTCGGTACGTCCTATTCTTTCTAGATGTCGAAACAACATAGAAATACCAGTAACTCAGAACTCGAAATTTTCTATAAACTCGTTACAGTACAGGAAAATCAAAAAAGGTAAGTCTATCAGTTCAGTTTGTCTTAGACGAATTCTCAATCAGTTGACACCCAATTCTCTGAGAGAAAAACGGGATATTGAAATTCTCTACCCTTCCCTGCGGACAAAGTACAGCTTACCCATGACATGGAGGACTGCAACAAAAGCTATGAAACCAATGCTCATCACAAGCACAACATTAGGAGAAATCTTGAGTCCTGGGGAATCATCAGTGTAGAACTGAAGCATAGTACCACCGGCTCCTCCAGCAGCTCCACCACTAGTTGTCCTCCTGCGCCGTAGGTTGGCAGCAGAGGCTGCAGCAGTACCTCTCTGTGGACCACCTCCACCCAATGCCATTTCTAATCATCATGTTGAAAAGAAAAGCAAAAACTTTAGATGAGGTATAAAACAGAGGATCTCGGAATGCACTCAACAGGTCAGTAATGCAAATGCTCAAACCCAGGGAATAAGCAAGAAAAATAATTAAGTAATAATAACATAAAAAAAGCATAATCAATTGATAAGCGGAAATTTACAATACAGGCACTCATGCATTGTTAAATTCCTCCTTAAACATGTTACAAGCATTAACGTGTAACTTTATCCATTTGAAGAGTTCAGAAATCAATGGATTAAAAACTATTCCTTTGACCAAATTAAACTATCCTAGTTTGCCTTTTATGGTCTATTACATTGAATCACCATACATCAATCTCAAACTGCTGGTATTTAAAGAATAAAACTTAAATATTTGGTCGTATATGGTTAAATACTTCTCTAGCATTTTTTGAATCTCAAAGGATACAGAAAATATTACTCCTAAAGTGCAGACAATTTGACTAGAAGAGACAAATTAGGACTCTTAATTAGGAAGAGAAGGTACTAAAATTAAGAGGAATGCTCAAGATATTATGCGTATCAAATTTCGATACAACAAAAATTGTCTGTTGGTTCTACACTGAAGCTAACACATTCATATATGAGTTTCAGTTATCCTATACAATGTTTTAAACCATCATCTTCACCATTTATTTAGAGAAAGTTCATTGGGCATTCAACACTGTTGCCCCGTATTGGCATTTCCTAGTACACAAGTTAACTGATTAGGCAATAATTTTGCCTCGTATAAGCATTTCCTGGTCTCACTTAGTTCTAGGAGTTCTATTCAGTGGTTTTAATGAACAACATGCTATAGTTTACAAGCCCAACCTGCCTACCAAAGCTAAAGCGGTTGAGCTCACATTAAGTGTTGGAATTTGAACCTGAGATCACTAAGTTGTTACTTCTACACCTTAACTACTCAACCATCAATCATCCCTTCGGTAATAAGAGTGTTCAAACTTCAATTTTTATAATGAACATGATTTTTCTTGAAATCCTAGTATTCTCATGCTTTACGAGCCATATGCAAAACTACTAATAAATATACAAGTCAAACATCTAAAGTGAATATTTAAGAAAGAAAGTAATGGCCGTTTGCAGGAGCTACTAAATTCATAACATCTAGTTAAGTGAAAACCTCACTGCATATATGTCTTTCATCATTTCACTGTCGAGGTGCGCGCAAGTTGGCCCAGACACCACGGTTATCAAAAAAGAAAATGCCTTTCACCATCTTATATCCATCACTTCCTTATGGAAACATTTGTTTCTTTAATACAAATTGAATACAAATTGATAGACAGAGGCAGCTCTAGGATTTAGGATTTAAACTATATGACTCAATCTTTAAAATTCTTAGTATTGAACCCATTACGATTTTAAAGCTATGGGTTCATTTTTTTTATAAGGTTAAAGCTATGGGTTCATATCTACTATTTGTTGCAATTTGAGTGGAGTTTTACACATATATTTATGTTCCGCGTCGAAAGTTATGGGTTCAATTGAACCTGTCCCTATAATGCTACATCCGCATAGAGCTAGAGCACCTTATATATCAACAATCAGGATATAGTAACCATTCAGTATTACAGTGTAAGGGAATTACTGTTAATAATTTGACTCTTTTGCCTCAAATAAGAAACCGATTACATCGCGAACTAAAGTAATTAGCTAATCTTACCTATAGATTATGTAGTAAATACAAGACATAGAAATACCGTAAAGAAAAATCAGGATTGGCCATCAGTGTAGAAAAATCTTATTCTATATCTCCGTCAAAGATTAATTAATTTCTGGGGGGAAATCTAAATATTAAAAAAAGTCCTCGCTGCTCCACAAGTATGAAATCTTATAACAAATAAGAGAATCATACGATCTGCAATTCAGTTTTTAGAGATCCTCCAAATTTCAATCTCAGTCAAACATTAATTACTCGAATTTACAACTATCGCAAACAGAAAAAATTCAATTTTTCACCACTGACATGCACACACATAAGAATCAATTCAAGCATATATAGGTAGATAAATATAAATCTGCATGTGAAGAAGAAGAAGAAGAAGATAAATCTGCATGAAAAATCAGCCAAAAAAAATAAGAAAATTAAAACTTACAAATGAGAGAGATTAGAGAGGAGAAACTAACTTTTAGATTTTTGGAGATGTTTTAGATCTGTGTCTCCGATGTAGTATTAGGTTTGTAGAGAGAGAGAGATGAAAATGGAAGAGAAAATGTTTACCCGTATTTTGTAATGGGTTTGGATTTCAATCTTGAGTCGTTATGTTAAGAGGAAGCCACATAGAAGATGCCAATCATCTCGTGCCACGTATATCACACGGTAATGAAAAATCACACGTCGGATATATGTGAAAGCTGAAGACGAAACTGCAACAAACTGGATTTATAATTTACGCAAAGCCCTTGACTTATAAGGAAAATAAATTAGGGACATGAATCAACAAATACTTCGAGTTGTCCTCATAAAATTTAATTAATAAAATATATTCTTATTAGATTTTTTAATTGTGTACTCATTTTTTTTAAAAAAAATCATATGATATAATTTAGGGAAATTATTAGTTATGTCAACCCATAAGTGAGTTAGTACAAAAATTAGTCATTCATAAAATATTATCAATATTAGACAATTAACTATTTACAGTCAAAAAAAGATCAAATTTTTACTTTCTTTTGAGTAGGTGTTGTTGGAATAGATTAGATACATTTTAAGAAGTTTAAATCTCAGTTTTAGGATGATTTAGTAGAGTTTTGAGGTGGTTTGAATTGCAAATTCGAAGTAGAAGATGAACATGAAAAAAGATGAGATGTGTATCATACCGTGAATCATTTGTGTATCACATATGTATCATATTTATATTAAATGTGTATCACATATATATCCATATATATCTATGTGGGAGATACATGCGTGATACATGTGTCGTAGAAGAATTTTTTGAACTCGATTTTAACTACGAATTCTGATACCAAATCACCTCCAATCTTCCTCCAATTTGTATATTGATTCATCTATATGTTTTCAATGAATTTCAACTATACCCATTGAAAAAGGTCCCTTTTTGCTACCTCATCCATGAAATTTCATTTCCGTCTTGCATCTAATATTGTTGATCATGCTTAAATATGGAAGAAGATCTTTGCTTGTGATTCTTGAAGAGAAAGCATTCTATAATTTTTGTATATGCTTGGTTAG